CCCGTGGCGGCGCCAAACCCCTGTAAATTACAGCATTTTCTTCCCTTTTTGAACCGATCTTTTGCGTTGATGAACGCAAAAAATGCTGGTATTTACGCGTTTTTCAAAAAATCGAAGATCGTGACGTGAACGAAACCGTGTAAATAACAGTGTTTTAGCCACTTTCGGGGACTAAAACAGTGGTATTTACGCGGGTTCTTGCCATCTGACAGCGCAAAATGCTGTAAATTACAACACTTTGTGCGCTGTTTATGTTCAATTTTTTAACCTGCGATGCTTTCACCTGTTCTTTGCATTCTTCAACAAGAAACAATGTTGCAGATTGAAACTGGACGACAGCCTGACCCGAAAGAAAGCTGGATGGAGGAGTCGCACAGAAGCTTTTACACATACAGGGGCTTTTACACAGAGAAGTCTTTACACAAAGGAGCTTTTTACACACAGAAGGTTTTACACAGAGCAGTCTTTACTCTAAGGAGCTTTTGCACATAAACGTCTAGGAGCCTTTACACACAGAAGCTGTTACACAAAGAAGTCTTTACACAGAGGGCTTTTTACACACAGACGCGTTTGCACACAGAAGCATTTACACACACAGGGGCTTTTACACAGAGAAGTCCTTACACAAAGGAGCTTTTTACACACAGAAGGTTTTACACAGAGAAGTCTTTACTCCAAGGAGCTTTTGCACACAAACGTCTAGGAGCTTTTTCACACAGAACTTTTTACACGAAGAAGGCCTGACAGAGAGAGCTTTTACACACAGACGCGTTTGCACACAGAAGCTTTTACACAGAGAAGCCTTTACACAGAGGAGCTTTTAGACACAAAAGCATTTACACACAGCAAGCCTTTACACACACAGGGGCTTTTACACAGAGAAGTCCTTACACAAAGGAGCTTTTTACACACAGAAGGTTTTACACAGAGAAGTCTTTACTCTAAGGAGCTTTCGCACACAAACGTCTAGGGGCTTTTTCACACAGAACTTTTTACACGAAGAAGGCCTGACAGAGAGAGTTTTTACACACAGACGCGTTTGCACATAGAAGCTTTTACACAGAGAAGCCTTTACACAGAGGAGCTTTTACACACAAAAGCATTTGCACACAGCAAGCTTTTACACACACAGGGGCTTTTACACGGAGAAGTCTTTACACAAAGGAGCTTTTTACACACAGAAGGTTTTACACAGAGAAGTCTTTACTCGAAGGAGCTTTTGCACACAAACGTCTAGGAGCCTTTACACACAGAAGCTGTTACACAAAGAAGTCTTTACACAGAGGGCTTTTTACACACAGACGCGTTTGCACACAGAAGCTTTTACACAGAGAAGCCTTCACACAGAGGAGCTTTTACACACAAAAGCGTTTACACACAGCAAGCTTTTACACACACAGGGGCTTTTACACAGAGAAGTCCTTACACAAAGGAGTTTTTTACACACAGAAGGTTTTACACAGAGAAGTCTTTACTCCAAGGAGCTTTTGCACACAAACGTCTAGGAGCTTTTTCACACAGAACTTTTTACTCGAAGACGTCTTTACACAGAGGGGTTTTTACACACAGACGCATTTGCACACAGAAGCTTTTACACAGAGAAGCCTTTACACAGAGGAGCTTTTAGACACAAAAGCATTTACACACACACAGTGGCTTTTACACAGAGAAGTCTTTACACAAAGGAGCTTTTTACACACAGAAGGTTTTACACAGAGAGGTCTTTACTCTAAGGAGCTTTTGCACACAAACGTCTAGGAGCCTTTACACACAGAAGCTGTTACACAAAGAAGTCTTTACACAGATATATTAGCTTTCACACACAGACGCGTTACACGGAGAAGCAGGGGGAAATAGAGAAGAGGAAATAATTGTTTCCTTCGACTCCTGCCTTCCATGTCTCCCTTTACTTTTCTCTTGTCTCTGTTAGTCAATTATTCCGTTCTCCTTGATCCGCTTTTACACAGAGTTGGTACACACGGGAGCTTTTTTTTTTTTTCCCCCCCTGCCTACTTTTTTTTTTTTTTACACACAGTGAAATCTTTAAACAGACGTTTCACCAACAGAGAAGCTTTACACACAGAAGCTGTTACACAAAGAAGTCTTTACACAAAGTGGTTTTTACACACAGAAACTTTTACACACAAAAGCTTTTACACAGAGAAGTCTTTGCACAGAGGCACCTTCTTCCTCACTTGTACTAAGAATTAACGTCAGCCTTTCGGCTACCCGTCGCCTTTCCCATCTGTCCCGTCAGCTTCCTTCCCGTGCGGTCTTAGCTTTCCGCATCACTCCCCACGGGGATCTGTTTGTCCTTCTTTTTTAAACGAAGTACCAAGTTGAAATTGGGCAGCAGTTCTTCGGGAAAAGAAAAAACCCTTGGCAGGAGCTTTCGGAAGAAGAAGGGAAGAAAAAAAAAGAAGCGTCTCGCGTCCAACCAGCATCATGTCTAAGCAGCCTAAATATCCTATTTCCAACAAAGTTCCTATTTGATGAACTTTTTTCAAAAAACATAAGGACTATATTTCTGAAGCAGGTCCCCATCCAAAAGCTTTCAAGCCCACACTGCAATGAAATGGAGGGTCGAGAAATCCGGCGGAGCCGACGAGGGGCGTCAGCCCTTAAATTCGGCTCCGCCGGCTCCACACGAGTACGCTGACAAATGCGTCACGAGCGTCCCAGAGCGACTAGAGCTCTAAGGTGAGGCGCGCCCCAAGCCGCCGACCCTCCGACGCCGGGCCCCGAAAAACACCAAAAATCCTTCAGGAGGGTGGGGGAGAGCTTTTTGGCCGGAATCCGGGTCGCTCATAAGCGTCTCCAAGAGCATTCCCCCCCCCCGTTTTGAGGGTACCTAAAATCGGAAAAAAGCGCCGTTTTGACACATTTTTCGGACGATTTTCAGCTTTTCGAAATGGACAAAATGCTGTAAATTACAGCATTTTTGCGTTTTGACGTCTTTTGCGGGAGCAATGAAAAAAAGCAGAAAATGCTGTAAATACCAATACTTTTTAGACCGGAGATGCACAAAACACTGCAAATACCAGTGTTTTTGAAAGCAAAGCAAAAAAACACTGTAAATTACAGCATTTTTGGCGGGTTGATCGCAAAAACTGCTGGTATTCACAGTGTTTTTGCAGTTTCAAGAAAACGTGGAAGGCACGAAACACTGTAAATAGCGGTGTTTTGGCCACTTTTGGACGCCGAAACGCTGGTATTTACGCAGTTTTTTGCCCGTGGCGGCGCCAAACCCCTGTAAATTACAGCATTTTCTTCCCTTTCTGAACCGATTTTTTGCCTTGATGAACGCAAAAAACGCTGGTATTTACGCGTTTTTCAAAAAATCGAAGATCGTGACGTGAACGAAACCCTGCAAATAACAGTGTTTTAGCCACTTTCAGGGACTAAAACTGTGGTATTTACGCGGGTTCTTGCCAGCTGACAGCGCAATATGCTGTAAATTACAGCACTTTGTGCGCTGTTTATGTTCAATTTTTAAACGCGCGATGCTTTCACATGTTCTTTGCATTATTTTGCACTCTTCCACAAGAAACAACGTTGCAGATTGAAACTGGACGACAGCGTGACCCGAAAGAAAGCTGGAGGGAGGAGACGCACAGAAGCTTTTACCCACACACACAGGGGCTTTTACACAGAGAAGTCTTACACAAAGGAGCTTTTTACATACAGAAGGTTTTACACAGAGAAGTCTTTACTCTAAGGTGCTTTTGCAGACAAACGTCTAGGAGCTTTAACTCACAGAAGTTTTTACACGAAGAAGTCTTTACACAGAGGGCTTTTTACACACAGACGCGTTTGCACACAGAAGCTTTTACACAGAGAAGCCTTTACACAGAGGAGCGTTTACACACCAAAGCGTTACACACAGCAAGCTTTTACACACGCAGGGGCTTTTACACATTTACACAGAGTAGCTTTTTACACACAGAAGGTTTTACACAGAGAAGTCTTTCCTCTGAGGAGCTTTTTCACACAAACGTCTTGGAGCTTTTACACACAAAAGCTGTTACACAAAGAAGTCTTTACACAGAGAGCTTTAACACACAGACGCGTTTACACACAGAAACTTTTACACAGAGAAGCCTTTACACAGAGAGTTTTTATACACGGAAGCTTTTACACAGAGAAATCTTTACAAAGACGTGCTTTCACACAGAGAAGCTTTTACACAAAGAAGTCTTTACACAAAGTGGTTTTTACACACAGAAACTTTTACACACAAAAGCTTTTACACAGAGAAGTCTTTGCACAGAGGCGCCTTTACACGAAGTAACAAGTTGAAATCGGCAGCAGTTCTTTAGGAAAAACCCTTCGCAGGAGCTTTCGGGAACTCACTTGCTCCCCAAAAAATCGTCTATTCCAACAAATATGTTCCAAAAAACCTAAGGAATATATTTCTGAAGCAGGTCCTCATTCAGTAACTTTCACGCCCACACTGCGATGAAATGGAGGGCCGAGTGGTCCGGCGGAGCCGACGAGGGGCGTCAGCCCAAAAATAATATAATAAAGTATAATATATACAATATATAATTGGTTAGCTAGTTGGTCAGTTAGTTGGTTGGTTGGTTGGTTAGTTAGTTTGTTTGTTTGTTAAATAAACTAATTAGTTGGTTATTATATATATATATATTTGATGGAGTTATATTTATGTATATGTGAAATTGATGTATTTATTCATTGATATGTTTATTACATTTAATTATGTATGGTTTTTGTTTTCCTCGATTATATAAACAAATTGATATATAATACCTGCAATATATTATGATATGGATTGGCAAGAATACTCGGTCAGAATAGAATGCAAGAAAATCACACGGAAGGCGTTGTGTTGAGACCACAGCATCTGGCTCACCAAGCACCTCCTGCCCGGTAAATCCAAAGGGGCAGTCCATCAGTTGCCCCCATTGTACCTCGGTTTTGTGCTGAGACATCTCCTCAAAATCTGGCCATCTTAGAAGCATCAGATCAGTGATAGGCCCCTACTGATGAAATCTATTAAAATCTGGCAAATAGTTTTCGAAGCTCTGTGCCCAATCGTGGCCAATCATATCTGGGGTTGCGGCTCCACTGAAGGAAAAACCAAGTCCACCCAGAAGCCACTTGCCCTGCGGTGGGTCAAGGTCGATGTGGGAATGGTTGTCCAAGCCGATGGGCATTCCATAGCACAGGCACAGATCACCCACAATAATGGAGGTAAAGTACACACCAAAAAGAAATGAGGCATACTGATGTTCGTACCACTGTGTGCAGCAAACTCCGCAATGCCACTGAGTGTCATCTCGACAGTTACGACTCACTGCATGTATTCTTGCTCCCTGCCTGTGGATCAATAAAAATGCTGTAGGGAGAGAAGCCCAAGTGCGCTGTCTTGGCATCCTGGCATAAGCTGAATGCCCCCAGGCTGGCCCATGCAGATGTTGGAGGTCAACCCTGCTTTCTTAGTGGAGCCTGGTGAAGAAACTGCATTGCTTCCGCCACGTCCAACAGGCCGCACCTCAACCAAGTCCCACTTCAAACCAGATGAAAAATGAAACCATGCTGAGGGCAAGGCTTCATCTCTAAATTGGAGAGCTCGTGTCTGTTGTTCTCCAATAATTGAGCAACTGTTCCTCAGCGAAGCAAGGCTGTGTCCAAGTCAGAGCGTAGTATCAGTCACCAGGGTAAAAACCACACTCAATAAGGATATCAAATCCTGATTTTAAACTATTAAAATATATATACTCCAAATGACTCGAAGATTGGAAGTGCTCTTCCATTTTTCAGGAAGAGATGAAGTACATCTGGATCCCCCCAACAAAGACCCTTGACCCGGCAACACCCTTAACACCATGGGCTGACGGCTCTGGGGCTTCCTACCAACCACCGGTTTGGTGGCAAATGCCAATGTGCTCCTCTCTTCCACCAGGGCCTCGTAGCTGCCGCTTGAGTCATGTACTTTTGACATCACGTTAGCAGGTGAATGGACAGCTTATCCGACCTGTACAATCCAAAAAGCCCAGTGGCCTCAATCACACTCAGTATGTGGGGATGACGCAACCGTTGTAAGCACATCGCATCCTCAGAAGGATACAGCTGGTGGAGCAGGGTCAACTTCGCAAGACGAGTAGACTACCAGTGGTACTACCAGCGGAAAGATGTCAGATGCAAAGCGTTGGCAACGCATCAAGGCCCAAGCTTTCTTCAATAACTCAACTATCCGCTCCTTGCTATTTTTGGCATACCTCAAGTTCAAAGCTGCCGAAGGACTCCAATCCCGTTTCATACTAAGTTCAAATCACCGATTCAACTCAGGGCCCCAGGTGGCCGACTTCTCGATCACCTTTCTCTCGAAGAGAAAGATGGTGAGCTTGTCTTCTGGCTTCTCCTAGAAAATTGACCAGGTCACTCTTGGCTCGATTGGAAATGCTAGTTCTTTTCAGAAAAAGGACGTCAGCAAACAAAACAGAAATTTGGGCTGTCTTTGCAGCAAAAAATCGTCACCGCTGCGGGAGTGGCGATTTTGAGAAACAACTAGGTAAATATTCCAATTGGCCATTTTGCTGGTTATTATTTTCATTGTTGGTAAGTTCCCCTGTTGCTGGGTATATCAGAGTTATAGTTATATTCCAAGTTTCCTGCGGGCTTGCATGGGCATGCGTGCTGGTTTCTTCCGCGGTTTTGATCTATGTGCGGTTGCTGGTGTTGTAAACGACATCGTCTCACCATCCTTGAAGCTAGCGGAGTGCAGTTTCCAGCGTAACTCTGGACCTGAGCAAACAAAGAGGAACTGCAGTAGGTCAGGAGCTGTGACTGGTTCTCCCAAGAGCTTGCTTCTTGGTTAACCCATTTTGGCGGCGACGGTCAACGGGGTCCGAAACTGAGCACACAGCTGTAGTAGCAGGGCTCTTTTTGCACATCGTACCTGTCACAGGAGAAACCGGCTACAGGCACCCAGTGTCTTACAAGTCAGGTGCGCGTCGTCTTACATGAGACCCCAATGAGTCCCTTTGGATCTTCTTCACTGACCTTTCATGGGGGGGCACTGGGTCAAGATTTTGTTCCCCATGTGTCCAGTGGCACCTTGGAACCCCGGTAAAACACAACTGGAACTCCCAAAGGGATGTGTTTCTAAAGGACAACGTTTAGGTGCCCGACTTCAACGTTCAATGTCTTGGCAAAGCGGAGTACCAATGCAACACTCTTTGCAGATCTTAGAGACACTTGTAGTTCCTGAGAGTCAATCTAGCATGGCCTCTTCAAATGCCCGCTGCGGCAATGATTCAACAACCTACATCATCTAATAATTCTATATATATATGTAATTGCTCTTATCTTTGGAGATTAGTGTATATATACATCTGTGTGTGTGTGCGTGTTTGTGTCAACACGTATGCAATTTGCAGTGCTTCAGTTTTCTTTGCATGTGTAGAGGAAGAAGGCAGGTTCGGCAAGCCAAACAGCTCCTGGTCGATTCTGCTATTGGTAGGAAAGTTCAGAGATGGAGATGATCTTAGATATCTCACCTCCACGGGTCGTACACATCAGGAAAGATTGCTACCCAAAAAAAAGCCTTGCCGGAAACAATGCTTAAGGAAACAGGGGCTTGAGTCTGGACTCAGCCACAACACCCTGTGTGCGTAGTATCAAACAACAACCCGGAAAAGGTAAACCGGAATGACTCATGCTAAACTGATGGGCCCGTGTTACTACCTTGAAAGGTTTATAATCCCCAACTCTTGTTTACCTGCAACTAGAGATTGCAACCCCATCAGGGCCCATCATGGTACAGAAGGGGTGGACAAAATGCTAGCGGCTCCATTTGGTTCTTCTCTCACCTTCGGAGTCTTGACTCCAAGGCTGGAGTTTGCTGCCGAAGCGACTTGCCATTGGCAAGCGTCGGGAAAATCAGCCATTCAAACGTTCACAAATGGGTTTGCCGCTCCAAGATCCCACTACTCCGCGGTCAAAGACCCAACCTGATTTGCCTTGAATCTTCAAAAAGTGCTGCCCATCCTTTCGTATGACATCTTCCACCACGAAGCTCTCGTAGGGTCCAACCACATCTCCTGTTGGATTGGCATTGATATCTGGCAGCTCCCGAATGCGGATCTTGGTCAGCGACCGCCAAGTGGCTGGCGTTTCCAGCATCCGGTTCCGCTCTTTGCCGGCCACATCGCCATCAAACAAATTGTCAAATTTCTGGCCTCTGCGCTGGTACCTCCCCCGAAAACGGGGGCAAACACTGTAGGCCTTCACTGGAGACCATTCAGCAACTTGTGCAATGCCTCCCAACAACCGGCCGTTGCCATCACAATCGGCACGTTGCGCCTGGCCGCAACTTGGACATCTCACAACGCGGCGTGCCTCGCAAAGCACTTCGACGTTGCGCACCTGTCGCGGTCTGCCAACGAAAGTTGGAACTGCTGTAGCAAAGGCCAAAAGAACGGCCGCTGACCATCTGCTGCGCGGAGCGGTCATCGTAAACAAAGATGTGTGTATGTGTGTGTGTGTGGGTCGTGATGTTTTCTGCGTCAAGCAGCTGAATATCAAATGCTTCTTGTGCTAAGTCGATCCATGTGATTGTTTCCACCAAGAAACCTCAAATAGCTGCAGAGACTTTCCAAGCTGCACACTTTCACTTTACGGTACAAGACAAGAGATGCGCTCCCGTTGTGATGCAAACAGCACACGAGAAGGTCTTTCCTTTGGCACCCTTTTCGCTAACTACTGCATGGCGCATTCGATTTGCAAAGCCGCCACAGTTGGAGCAGCCAATTCGCAAAGATGCGTACAACAACTGATGTAATAGGTATTTGAAAAACACGAATGGACAACACTAATACTCGTTTAGATTTCGAAAGATTTGTTTGAAAGTGTATATCTCTATATAATGCATATACACATACATAAGTGCGTGTATACATATATATATATATACATACAGTGTGCAGGATGATTTCTCTGCATACTTATCCAACCTCATAATGCCACTACTGTAGCCAACTCGTGAAACTGCTCAGTTCAGCAGGTGAGACTAATTTTTTGCCCATCAGGAGATCTTCACCCTGCCTTGTAGCAAAGCACTGCAAGCTCGTCGATGTAAAAGTACACAAAGTGCTTCGTCTCATGGGTGACATAAGAGCCGAAGTTGCGGCCGACTATGATGTGCCAAAATGGCGTGTGAGTTCTGTCCAACTCTTTCTTGATGAAGTTGGCAATGTCCTTCTCTGTGTTAAATCTGTCCATGGCTGTCTTGGCCAATTCAACCACTTCGCTCTGGAGCACCTCATTCATGTCGGCATTCTTGATTTGGACCTTCATTGCAAGAAGGGGCCATGTCAGTTTCTGTTCAGAGACTCTTCACAAACTGCTCCGTGGACCCTAACATCAACAAATGTTGATTCTTTCATGTACAGAAAACAAAATACAGAAACGGGAAACCTCCGCACTTCCCGCCTTTCTTTCCGTGGTCATACTTGGAGCAACCGTATGTCTCCAGTCTGGCCAGACACTGGGAGTCGACCAATATCAAATCTACCCTTGAGCTGAGAGGTTGCAAAATGAAGCCTGTAGATTCCCAGCTGCAAAAATGCATCGGTTTCAAGCCTTGTCAACAGGAGTAAATGTTCTGCAAATGTCCAAATTTTAAACTACCCATCAGTGTGCCTTGCAGTGACTTGGCTCACAATGACAGAATGATACCATGTCAATTTCATATACGTATATATAAATATATACCCTGTAAATTATCATGTTAGAAAAACAATAGTAAACCATCCCCAACTCTCCGAGAAATGGGTGGTATAAACCATCAAAATATGAGTGGCTTATAATTGTTTTATTAACATGATATGTATATATAACGTATATACACATAGTTGTTTTTTCTTCCTGTACATACTACAAATATATACATATTATATACATACATATATATATATACATATACATATATACATATATACATGTATACATATATACATGTATACATATATATATA